TACCTTTCTCTCCTGTCTTAGTTCCATGTTTCTCATTGCTGGGACAAGGTACCAACACTGAAAGTTACAGGGGAATGTTTATTTAGCTCACAGTCAGCACAGCTTTCATGTCATAATCAGCTGGCTCCAGGGCAGGGTGGCACATGCTAAAGGGGCAGCAGGTCCGTGCAGTGGAAGATGGCAAAAGCAAGAAGAGAAAAAGGGAAGATCAAGCCTTTTTCCTCTCTTAGATTGCATGCAGGCTACCCTCCCTGGGCTAAGTGTAGTACTCCCACCTCCATTCCCAGCACTGGACCACGATCCAACCACAATCTCTAGATTCAGCCAGTTCCATGACTGCCTGATGCCTTGGGGGAACATCTGGACACAATCCAGCAGGACTCTGTGCTACCTCGGTCAGGCAATGCCCACCTGACTGCTGTCCTTTCCAGCCTCTGTCCTTCCTTCTGGGCTTCACCTTTCATTAATCCCTTCAGGTTTGCAGTCTCTGCACTGCATTTCTTTGGATGGCAGGTATTTGTGGACCAGGCAATTGTGTGGTTAGTTAGGGGGGCTTTTTCTTCCCTCTTTCCTGCCATAGAGCTGGATTTTTTTTTGTGGAACTGGGATTTTGAACACAGTCCCTTGTGCTTGCCAGGCAAGAGCTTATTCTACCAAGCCATTTCCCCGGCCCTCTGGCACGGCACTTTTTAAGATAGACGTTGAATGGATGTTTATGGAATACATAAGTTTGAGAGCATGGGCATCCGATTTGCTGTGATTAAGCCCTCATTCAAGAGTAAGCAAGACAAACCCACGGCAGGTCAGCTGTTGTTGTATTAAATAGACAGGAACTAAGAAGCAAATGTTGAACACCACAATGTTTTTCAGTTTCTAAAATGTTAATGTTTTCCTGGTGGCTTTTCAGAGTTTAAGTCATCATGTGATTTTTAACCAGATGAGCAGAAGAAGAAAATTTCCACAATTTTGATACAAAATATCACAACTCTTGCATTGCTAAAGAAATTCAAAGAACAGATGTTATAATCTTAGAATACGATGCAGAAGGAAAATGTGAACATAACCTAAAGAGACAGACCTCATTCTCATCCCATTAGATTAGAATCCCAAAGGTACATCATTCTGTGTTCCCTGAAATTGCTCCCACCTTAAAGGCCTACAGACATGGACCTATGTCTCTGACAATAAAGAGGAGAGCTCTCCCCACCACGTGCGAGGATCTGTTCACCTGGGCCTGCAGCTTTCACTGGCTCGGGCTATGGTGCTATCCTTGAGGTTAGCTCTGCTTTGCAGTAACTCTTATTTCTCTCTCACAGCCCTTTTCACTCCATACTACAAGGCAGAGGGGATGGTTTCATTGATCTTGGCCCAACACGCTAGGACTGTCCCCTCAGCATAGGCTCTTGGACAGACAGCATGGGACTTCCAATTATGCAGGGTGACTGTCAGGTACCTGGCAGTACTCTAGGTATTCCAGCTTCCCAAGATCATGTGTGATGAGCTTTCTGTGCCCCCTGAAAGAGAGGATGTCTTTCCAGACTAGACTCTCATCTCGCTAAGACATTCTCAGCTCTTTTCCTCATGGGTCCTGTTGGTTTCTATGACTGTCACTCTCAAAGCTTCATGAGGACACTGATATGTGATAAATGCCCTGTCACAATTCACTTTCTCATTCTTTGAGATATTCTTTTTGCTGACAATGTCGTGAAAGTAGTTGGTCAAATCAACTTCTTCTAAGTCCATGCCGAGTACCCTCTATATTGACAGAAGCTCTTCCTCAGGCCTGAGGAAAATAGTTCCTATACCTTTTCTTGATCATCTGCATTGTGTTTTTCTTTCCTTTCTATGCCTTTTCTTTTCATGCTTGAGCATGATGAGTGTGGAAATTTGCTGGCCTTCTTTGGTATGGGGTCTTTGGACCACTGTAGTGTGGAGCTCAGAGACTAGGATAAATGCTGTGCTTTCTTCCTTTTCTAAGTGTTACTTATGATTGTATTGAGAAAGAAATAACTTAGGACACAGTGGTGGGATTGGCTCTCTGCGACCTCTCTTGAGCCCTTTGACTGACAGCAGACTTTGTGTGAGTGGAGAGCGCCAGTTAAGCAAAGATGAGTTGGCAATATTTCTCTTTTGGCCCAATCTGGTGTCCTTGTGTATTTCATATCATCTGGTTTGGATTCTGAGGAGCACAGAGGTTACACTTCTGCCTCCTAAGCATGAATACTGCCCTAAGGGCAGTAAGTTCGAAAGTAAAGAGCCAGTGATGGCAGTGCATGGAGCACAGACAACAAGAGAGCACAAGCTCCTCAGACGAAGGGAAAACACCTTTGCCTGATGAAGATGGCTCTGGAGATGTCCTCCTGACCACTGACTGAGAAGAACCCCCGGCTCCTGTTCTACTTAGTCTATTGTGTGAGAATGAAGTGGAAATCCTTCAGTGGCATCCTCTGCTGCAGCTGGCCCAGCTTTCCTCTGTGCAAAGATGGTGAAAGCAGATAGGTCCTATCTAATTAATTCTTTGGAGTCCTGTTTAGGAATAAAGAACAATAGACCCCTGACTTATCAGCACTCAAATTCTGATCATTCACTGGTGCACTGAAGGAGATTCATTTCATCCACTGTGAATGAATCCAAGTGACAAATATCTTACCTAAATGGAACTTTCTTTTTTTCAATTTTTAAAAATCTATTGTTTATTTGATTAAGTTCTTACTACACAGCTAGGACTTGCAGTCATCCTCCTGTCAAAGCCTCCTCAGTGCTGGGATTGCAGGCATGCAGTATCATGCCTGGTTTCGGTGGCTGGCACTGTGTGCCCATGGTGCTGTTGCTTGCATTCCATGCAGTACCAGGGATCAAACTCAGGTCCTGGCTCTTGTAAGGCAGGTGATTACACCGCTGAGCCATCTCCCCGGCCTGGAACTCCTTCAAATGTTGGGACTTCCTGTACCATCTTCTTTTCAAATTAAGAACTCAGGTTTCTGTATAGGTCAGGAGAACCAAGCAGAAACTGAAGGTTGCTCTAGTAAACTTTACCTAGTGACCTTGGACTCCTGGCTCAGATTTCTGCCATAGTCCATATATAGGTTCGAAATATCCCCAAACAGTGTAAAGATAAATTCCTTTGAGATACTCCTTGGGAGAACTTTCCTGTCTTCTGATATGGACATAGATCAAGAGGCTGCAAGATTTTACACCTTATTATCTAGGCCACGGACCCAGAGGCTGTCTTAGACTATCCAGGTTTATGGGAACAGAGTGCTATCAGCTTCTGCCTAGTGGGACATCATTGTGTTTGCACTGGAAGCACAATGTAAGACTCCTTCTTTTCTTAGTTCATATGAGCAGTAAGTGCTTATATAAACTAAGAAAAGAAGGAGTCTTACAGACCTCTGAAAGTGAAAAAGCAAATGCCCCTTTTCAGGGTCCTTGCCGCACTTACTGCTGTAGATGCGTTGAGGTAGATAACTGGATTCACCATTCTAGGGTAAAGCCAGCTCCCCTCTCCAGCACCACACAGCTGCCCCACTCATCTCTCTGAGGAAAACGCCCACGAAAAAGAGAAGAGACTTTTCCCTGAACCTCAGGGAGATCTGAGTTTTTCCTTCACAAACAGACTTCAATCCTGGCCTGAGTACAGAGAAATAAATGGGATTATTTCATGCCTTAGGTCTCAGGCTTATCATAATTTGTCTGACATTCCCTATTTGTCATATATTTGCATATCAGTTTAGTTTTTACTCATGCCTCTGCCCTTGTGTTCAGTAAAGTTAGAACACATCTTATCCTCAGAACAGGCCCTCCCCCCCGGAACAAATGCAAGATCATCTTCATCCAAATACCTGCACCTACAAAGCTTGGAGTTGTCAGCTCCCATTGTGAACGAGCCTGTCATTAACCCTGGAACCATCCAATTTGACGCCAGTTAAGCCCAGGTCTCCTCTACCTCCTGTATCTTGGCTAATTCTTCAGAACACAGCCCTTTCTTTTCCATGACTTCAAAGGACACTCATACTTTGAGGGTTTTACCATGATCTCTCAAGTTGAACTCAAGGTGTAGTGCCACGGGAATGGTGTCACACTTAAAAATTCTCAGGCCAGACTTTAAGAGAAGTCCTGAAAATTGACTCGTTTCAACAGGACACCATTCTTTGAGAACCCAGGACCTGGTTGTGTCCTTGAAAGGGAGGGAAGAGACTCCATCCACCCATAGTCACTGCTCAGGTTCTGCCTGGGTAAAGGCAGGCGCCGATTGTTCTCCAGCTGTCCTGGTCTGCCGCATGCACCCTAGGTCTTCAGCACTTGATACACCAGGGCCAGGGCTTCCTCCCTGTATTGCCTGGTACTACGCACCCACCCAGGAAAGTCTCTCCTTGCCATTTCACTGCAGGGTAAATCCGGGCAAGACCCACATCAGCAACCCCACCCCCAATTCTAATTTCCAGACCCGAGGTGTTGGCCTGGCCCTGTGCACGTGGCTATTTTGTATCACTTCTTCCCAACGGCACCAGAATCCTCCCAGACACATCAGTTTTGTCCAAGTCCCACCCTACAAGACATGAACTCTGCTATTTATTCCATGCACATTGTCGTTAATCGCCCATCAAATACTCTGCCTTGCTTACAATGTACTTACACCATCTAGTTTGCTATTTGGGTTGCAGTTCTTGCTCTTTGGTGGGTGTTCTTAGGAAAGATGACAAGCATGATGAATGCTGGTGAGCATTTCCATCCAGGCCAGTGCCTTCCACTAAATCAGTAGGGTCTCGTGGTCCCCCTTCTCCACAACATCTTACTACTTCCGTCTCTTCCCCAAAAGTCAAAATGGGCATGAAAGAAATGTTCATTTAGCATGAGGACATCTATAGTCTGGACGTCTGAAGTAACAGGTGTGCTATCTATTGGGTAAAACTTTTCCACACCCCGGGGCATATTGTGCTGCAGATTAAGGGCCCTGTGACCTTTCCTACAGACATTGAATATATGAGGTAAGCACCTACCTTACGTTTGGCTCAGCTGTCTTTGCATTATTGCAGAAGATTCTGGAACTCAGAAGAGGAAGCTCCAGCCTGAAAATTCCAATGCAGTATTGGTGTTACAGTTTGAAGCCTGAAATCTGCAGCGTTGAGCCCACACACTGGAAACTCAGGAAGGTCACGATGTTGGCCACTTCAGGCTCAATTCTTTCTGCCAGAATCTTTAGTCTTTTTTCTTTGGTACACTCTACTGATTGGATGATACCACCTACGCTAATGCAGGATAATAAGCTTTACTCAAAATCTAGTGGTTAAAATGAAAATCATATTGTAACCACTCTCAAACACATTCAAGAGCCTCAGCTCCCCTCCCCCACATCCTTCATAAGAACATCTTCCCTGATGTTCCACCAAGTACTGGGCAGCATAGCCTTAAATGACACAAATGTAGAGTTGATAAAGATAGCCAAGAGTGGGAGGAACGAAGAATTAGAATCTAATGTTGCTATTACCTGGGACAAGAAATACAGCTAGAAGTGACAGTACTTTTGGAACAAAATAATGAGTTTTTATTTTTTTCACATCAGACTGAATATAGTCATTAACCCATAACCTGTGAATTATGTTTCAGATTCTCTGTAAAGTTTAGGATTGGATACAATGTATTTTAAACTCTGAATCACAAAATTTGTCACTAGAATTGTAGGGAAAGTAGAACATGCCTGGGGATAGTTAGGCAGATGAACATGTAGTTATACTTGGATCCAATGATTTGCAGAATGCAATCTTTTACAGGGTGAGATGAGAAGATGTCTATTGAGGAGATGGAGCAAAGACAGTGTGATCAATAGAAGAAAATGACAAGGCAGTGTCTTTGAAACTAGACAGAATTTGCCCTACATTCACTCAGTGGAACTCCTCCGAGTTCTACCCCTTTGCCGTGTGGAGAACTACATTGTACCTTCTTTGCACCCAACGGGACTACATGGCTGGGTTAAGCAGATGGCAGGGGAAGGGCCAGATGGGGAATTGCTGTCAAGCTGAGTTCCCGAGTGATGATGTGGAACAAATCCTCAGTGCCCCTTCACACCAGATCCACATTGAGGAGGTAACGGCATTGAGAGACTCACCCTTTGTGGTGGTCATTTTCAGACATCTTGTGGCTGACTTGTCATCCTTGCAAAACCCATCATTTAAAAAAATTATATAAAGCAAAGACACCAGCACATTTATCAAAGCAGAGAATAATCACCACAGGGTGACATAAACAATGGACCCTGTATAGTTCCTTTTCCAGAGTTCTTTAGTTGTGGAATTTTGAAACAAAGTAAGAATGTGTGCACATAGTTCAGTGTTTTTCAATGATAGCAGTATAATGGATAATCTGCATTGTTCTTTGGCATTAACTGGGATGTGTGGTGATTAGATCAATACTATAGAGTTGTGTTGAAGTGGAGATAAGCTTTGCAAAAGCCACTCTCAACAATTTACTTACTCAATGCTTTTAAAGTTGAAATTATGTTTTCTTTCTGTTCAAATTTTTATTGTTGATTTTAAACATGTAGAGGGTGAGAAACTAAATGTTCCTTTCCATAAGTCATGATAATAAAGTCCACAGGTAAAGTGTACAATATATATTAAATTTTAAGAGATGAATGTCTGCAATGTCTTTCTGAATATAATGCAAAGGATGTCCAACTCACATAAAATGCACATGCATAATCGTAAGTTCAAAATATTTGCTTGAATAAAGGTGAAGTATTTTATCTAGTGGTGATTATGACACAATTCTATCTTGGAAAAATTAAAATGAATTAAACTTATAAATGCTACACAAAATATATTTACTTATTCACTATTTTTTTTTTTTGAAGAATCAAGGATTGAACTCAAGCCCTTGCACTTGCCAGGCAAGCCCTTATTCTGCTAAGCCATCTTCCTAGCTAGTTATTTTACTTTAATTTACTTATTTTTTTATTTTTTATTTTTATTTATTTGAGAGAGAGAGAGAGAGAGAGAGAGA